AAAAACCAGCATAACTAAAAGCATTTCATTTTATAGTGGGTTCCATTCACTTCTTGAATACTTTGACTTGTGCTAGACAATTGACAATCGGGTAAAGGCTTTTGTATGTGAAAACATTGAAATAAGAAAAAAGAAAAGGAAAGGAAAACAGGAACCAGAGAGAGTATAGGAAGGAAGGAAGGAAGGAAGGAAGGAAGGAAGGAAGGAAGGAAGGAAGGAAGGAAGGAAGGAAGGAAGGAAAAGGGAGAAGAGAGAAAGAGAGGGGGTGGAGAGATAGTAAAGTAAAGTAAGTAAAGTAAAGGCCCTCCCGTTGATCGTCGATTTGCTCGAGCGGGCCCAGTAACGTCTCCATTGGAGACTTTGTTGTTACTGTGTCTGGCATATCGAATACTCTCGGTAGCTTGCCGGGCTCTCCGAGAGGGGCGGAGGAATCGAACTCAGGTCGGCCATGTTGGCCGCTTGTAAGGCGAACGCCCTACCCGCTGTGCTATCGCTCCAGGCAAATGTTTTACCTGCTGTACTATCTGGAGAGATAGTACAGCAGGTAAAACATTTGCTTTACATGCAGCAAACCTAGACCTGGGTTCAATCCCCAGCATCCCATATGGTCTCTTGGGCTTCAATAGGAGTAACTCTGAGTGCAGAGCCAGGGTAACCCCCGAGCATCACCAGTGTGGCAGAAGAAAAGGAAAGGAAGGAAGGGGTGGTATACAGACTTTGGGAAAGCCTCATAATAAACAATTTACAAGACATGCCAACAGTAGTGGGCTGGAGCGTTAGCACAGCGGTAGGGCGTTTGCCTTGCGCGCAGCCAACATGGCCGACCCGAGTTCGATTCCTCCGCCCCTCTCGGAGAGCCCGGCAAGCTACCGAGAGTATCTCGCCGGCACAGCAGAGCTTGGCAAGCTCCCCGTGATGTATTCGATGTGCCAAACACAGTAACAACAAAGTATCCAATGGAGACGTTACTGGCCCGCTCGAGCAAATCAATGAACAACGGGAGGACAGCCAACAGTAGTAAACAAGGACTAAAACCTAGAAAACTAGAAGCAATGGGTAATGCATTATCTTTGGCATCTGTAAGTAAACATATACTCACTCAACAACATTGCATTTCATGCTGGATTCTACGATTGCACATGCACTGGCCTGATTCTTGGAACTTTCCAAAACTAGTTGGACATACAGGTGTACAAATAAGTCATTGCCCAGGGCTGCTGGTTTTTATGAAGGATAGTGAGTCTTTGAGAAGCTACAAATGGGTTTGAGTTCCAGGGGCACAGCAGCCACTAAAGCTCCAGAGCAAGTTACTTAATCTCATCTATTAAATGAGGATGAGCGATGAAAAGCTGACACAGCTGTGCGCTATGTTACCTAATGTGTCTAAGCACCTGGAATAGTTTGCTACTTTAACTTGCACTCGTTTGGCCTTGGCTCCAGAGTCCTTCTCACCCACCATGTCTTCGCAAGCTCTTGTACAAATCACTGTGGAGAGGGTCCTAGTGTGGTCACTCTACTTAACCCACCCTCGCAAACTGGGAGGACAAAGAAAACACAGGAACCGTTTGGCTTAAAAGCACGAACCTGCCCAGGGCAAGGGATATAACACAGCGGCTAGGGTGCTTGCCTGGCATACATCTGACCCGAGTTTAACTTCTGGCGTTCATATGGTCCCGGAGTCCACCAGGAGTGATTCCTGAGTGCAGATACAGAACTCCTGATATAGCCAGGTGTGACCCCCAAAACTACAAAAGCACAGACCCAACCTGGCCAATGTGGGATTTTCTTCTACACTGTCCCGGGTATATTAGTGAAAGTTCTCCAGAGAGAGAGAACCACAAGAGATAAGAGAGGACAAATAGGTACCATCACTAAAAAAAGATTGATTACGGGGACCTTTTGCAAGCTAGGGTGTGGGGGGTTGGGAGAAAAACAGCAGGTGGCACTGTGGTGTGGTTCTTAGAACCGGAGTCACTGATAACACTTCTCGAGTTGAGAGCAGGAGAATATCCACGTCCTAGCTCAAGCAGGAAGAGAGCAAATTCTCCCTTCCTATGTCACTCTAGCTCAGACCTGCAACAGAGTCGATGATGCCCACCCACAGTGGGCTATCTGTTCTGCTTTAGGTTTTGAGGGCTCAGGAGACCCTATGTGGTGCTGGGGATCAAACCAGAGTTGATAACAGATAAGACACACTACCTGCCATAGTCTCTCTTCTCTCCTGCCCTGAGCAAGTTTACTGATTCTAATGCTAATCTCAGACATACTGAGAAAAACTAGCTAGAGGCCTGGAGTCTCACTAACACAGAAACTTAAGGTCACAGCAAGCCTGTCCCAACACCTTCTGAAATGAATCACTCCCCTTTGACAGAAGGTGCTTCCTAGAAAAAAGAAATATCAATGGGGGGGGGGGGGGTAGGAGGGAGCAAAGTGATAGTACATAGAGTAATGTGCTTGTCTTGCACGAAGTCAGCCTGGGTTTGACTTGGGTTCAATCCTCAGCACCACATAGGGCTCCCTGAACCCTGCCTGGAGTGATCCCTGAGTGCAGAGCCAGGAGTAAGTCCTAAGCACTGCTGGGAGTAACCTAAAACCTAACAAACAACAATGACTAGGGGGGAAAAAAAGACAAAACAGAGATCGTACAGTGAATAAGACACTTGCCTCACATGTGGCTGACCCAGGTTCAATATTAGACACCACGTAGGGTCCCCTGAGCACTAGCCTCAGTAAGCCCTGAGCAGAGCCAAGAGTAAGCCCTGAGCACCTCTGGGTGTGCCCTCCACCCCTACCAAAAAAAAGGAAAAATCAAATTAGGGCAGGGGTGATAGTACAGCGGTAGGATGCTTGCCTTGCTGATGGCTGACCTGGGTTTGATCTCCAGCATTCTGAACCCATCAAGAGTGATCCCCTGAGCACAGAGCCAGGAGTAAACCCTAAGCACCACTGACTTGGCCCAAACACATACATACACACACACACACACACACACACACACACACAGAAAAAGAAAAATCGATTATGATCCTCTTTTGCAAACAAAACTATCATCAACCCCCAGCATGGTGTCTATAATATCTATAAGAGGGTTGGGCGGAGGCCATGGTGAGTGCAGGCTAGCTGATGGGAAGTGCTGAGATTGTCTCCCATGGTCCCCAGCAGGCGGCATATTGTGGGGTGCTGGTGTCCTCGAACAAAGAAGCACAGAAACAATGAAGGAGATGAGGTGGGGCTTTACGGGCAGTAAAACAAGTCGGGAAGGGGCTGGAGTGATAGCACAGTGGGTAGGGAGTTTGCCTTGCACGCGGCCAACCCAGGTTCGATTCCCAGCATGCCATATGGTCCCCTGAGCACTGCCAGGGGTAATTCCTGAGTGCAGAGCCAGGAGTAAGCCCTGTGCATCGCCGGGTGTGACCCCAAAAAGCAAAATAAATAAATAAAATAAAATAAAACAAGTCTGGAAGAATGGCCCCCAGCACAGGCTGAAAATGACCCTTGGCGGTTCTGCTGGATGCCTGTGCAGAGAGTGGGCAATGTAACAGTTCATCCCTGTGCTAGTCCTTTCCCAGGGCAATCATACCTCATCGGGGAGAACAGCCAGCACACGCCACAAAGGTTCACATGAAGAACATGGACAGAAGATGGCGGGGAAATGTCTTCGGGGTGTGTTTTATAAGGTGATGAGGAGCAAAGGCCAGAGCTCTACACGCTCTGCTGGCTGGTGCTGTCCGGAAAGGGACCAGGGGGACTTTTCAAAGCCTGTGTTTTTATTATTTTTTTAATTTTTACGTTTTATTGAATCGCAGTGAGATAGACCCTTACAAAGCTGTTCATGATTAGGTTACAGTCATAGTGTTCCAACACCCATCCCTCCACCAGTGTACATTTCCCAGCACCAGTGTTCCCAGTTTCCCTCCTATCACCTCCTACTCTCTGCCTGCCTCTATGGTAGGCGTTTCACTCCCTCTCCCTCTCTTTCTCTCTCTCCCTCTCTGTCTGTCTCTCTCCCCTTCCCTTTCTGAGCTCAATGTCAGTGTTCTAAGCGTTCCTTTGTTGGACAGGTCTGAGTCAGAGGAATGCAACCAGAGAGGTTGTCACATCTTCACAAGGCTCGACCTAATCTGCTTAGCTTTTCGTATCCTAGAGAGTCTTACTAAATCTGGGGGGTTAAAGAGAAAGGCAAAGTTTCACAAAGCTTTGACAGCAAGCAGCAGCTGAGTTAGGGAGCACAAGAAGGGAAGAAGGCAAACAGGAGTCAGCACAGGAAAGCTTTGTGCTCCAAGCTGAGGAATTTAGATTTTATCTCACAGGGCACAGATGATTCCCAGCTGTGAAAATTGGCACCAAAGGTCAGTAGCCAGGGCTGAGGGTCAGTCAGCCTGTGGGATGAGGAGCTAAGTGGCTCTTGCTATGGGAACACAGCCTGTCTCCAGAGTTCTCAGAAATTGGCCAGTAACAAACAGCTCAACATTGGCTAATGAGAGCTTATGCCTTCTGGGTGATGAGGTGCCTCTGGGAAGGCAGGGGTGTGGGGAAGAGGTGCTGGCTTCAGTCTCCCCCCCACTCCCACTGCAGGAGGCCTGTGGGCCCATGGTCCCAGCATGATCCTGGCAGAACAAAGGCCGGTGCTGCAAGCATGTGGCAATGTCCTAAGCCATATTTGATACCTGGAATCTAGGAGCCAAAACCCAGCTGGTTCACCCCAGAAAATGATGGCGGGACAGGAAGAGAATAAGCAGTCTCATGACACAGGAAGCATGTTGGAGCCCAGGCTGAGATTCTCAGGGCAATCCTAGGCCCTTGCTCAGAATCCAAACTGGAGAGAGCTCACCTGGCTGAGCACAGTCTCCAGCCCTGGGCTTTTCAGCTGGAGCAACTGTGTGGGCTGGGGACACAGAAAATGGCAGAGTAGCCCCCAAGGAAGGGGCTCCCCATTCACAATCCAGAGCGTCTCTCAGAATAGAAGTGTCTGCAGCTCTTCCTTGCTGGAGCTGACAACTGCTTCTCCCAGGGATGCCACCTGTTCCTGGGTCTGTTTTCCTCCTCCAAGGTCTGCGTTATTTTTTCATAATAGATGAAAGTTCTAGAAGCATGTTCTGGAAGAGATAGAAAGCAAAGGCAATAGACGGTAAAGGTATGCAAAAGTCAGTCCCATCCACCCCCTGTAACTCTATGTCTGAATACAGGAATCCAAACCAAAAAATGGCTGCAGGGCAGGGAGATACCTCAAAGGGCTGAGCTCAAGTATTGCATGCAGGAGGTCTGGGTTTGAGCCCCAGCACTGCATGGTGCCCCCCAGCACTGCCAAGGAGCAACCCCAAAGTACATCCAGGATAGCCCTTGAACACTTCTGGATGTGACTCAAAAGCAAAGCAAAACCAAAAAAAAAAACATCTGCTGCAGAAAAAAAACTGTTTTTTCATTGTTCCAGAGATAAATGGCAAGAGGTTCTGTTGCTTGACGTTATCTACCAGGTCCCTCTCCACCTCCAGCTATTTTGTAAGAAATCTAGGTGGAAAGCTAAAACCCAGTGTTTCCCTAAGCTCTATCTTTGTCCCCTCCACATTTAGCCAGGCTCTTTACTTTGTATAATGCTGACCTGAGGAAAGTGACTCAAATGTGGAATGTTCCATTTCATGCTGATGTAGGATCAATCCTAAAAATACTCTTAGCTTGGGCTGCTTTGCACAGGGAAGGCAAGGGGCAGTCATCAGTGCCTGCCTTGCACCTGACAGACCTGGGTTATATCCCCAACACTACATAGAAATTCCTGAGCCCCATCAGAAGTGATTCCTGAGCATAAATCCAAGAGTAAACCCTAAATACTGCCGAGTGTGGCCCTAAAACCAACCAAACAAAGGAAAGTCAACAATTGACTTAACCTTTTTTGTGGGGGTGGTCACACCCAGCTATGCTCAGGGGTTACTCCTGGCTCTGCACTCAGGAATTACTCCTGGTGGTGCATGGGGGACCATATGGGATGCCGGGGATTGAACTTGGGTTGACTGCATGCAAGACAAACGCTGTACTCTCTCCCCTGCCCCTGACTTACCCTTAAAACAATTACAATTACAGGCAGGAACCTCTGGCACTGTCTAGATCAGTTGGATCCTCAATAAAGTGTGCATCTTTCCTCTTTTATAGAGGATGGGACAGGGGCAGATGTCAGGGTTCAGAGGCAACCAGGGCTATACCCAGTGGTACTAAGTGGGTTATGCAGCCCCAGGCCTGGAACTTAGGTCCTTGTATGCAAGACATGTGTTTTATTCCTTGAGCTACATCCCAGTCCCTCTCCCTCTTCCTTAGACTATCTTTGGGAATTCTTATATAAGACTTTGTTAAAGGTTCAATAACTGATAGCAATCTACTTTACAAATACCCTCCCAATCCTTGTTATTAATACTGAGTTTAAGATCCTCCCACATGAGGGGCTAGTGAGATAGTACAGGTTCCATCCCCAGCACCACATATGGTTCCCCTGAGTCCCACCAGGAGTGATCCCTGAGCACTACCAGTTGTAGTCCCCAAACAAACAAACCGTAGAAATGGGGGCCAGAGACACTGCACCACAACACCCAAAAGGAGAGAAGAAAAGGGAATGCCCTGCCACAGAGGCGGGATGGGGTGGGGAGGATGGAGTCGGGGGTGGGAGGGATACTGGGATCATCGGTGGTGGAGAATAGGCACTGGTGGAGGGATGGGTACTCGAGCATTGTATGACTGAAACACAAGCACGAAAGATTGTAAGTCTGTAACTGTACCTCATGGTGATTCACTAATAAAAAAATAAGAAAGAAAGAAAGAAAGAAAGAAAGAAAGAAAGAAAGAAAGAAAGAAAGAAAGAGAGAAAGAAAAAAATAAAGAAATGGGGGCCAGAGAGATAGTACAGGCTTAGGTGCCTTGCATGTGATTAACCCAGGTTTGATCACCAGCACCACATATGGTCCCTGAGCACTTCATCCCTGACTGCCAAACTAAGAGTAAGCCCTGAACACAGTCAGGTGTGCCCCCCAAATAATCAGAATCAAAAATAAAAGGGGGCGCTCATATGCTGCCCGAGCCCATGTGCTGCTTGCGCTCATGTGGCTGAGCACATGTGATGGTTGAGCACATGTGTTGCCTGCATCTCCCCTCTTGAGATGTGTACTGTCATGCTTTCATGTCTAATGCTGGGATGTACGTAGGGGCTCTCTCCACCCTTGGAGAAGCCTGGGTTCTCTCTTGAACACGTTACTCTCCACTCTCCCACTTTCTCTCCCTCCTTCCCTTCAAAATCTCCAAATAAAATCTGTTTTACTTCAAATAAATAAATAAAAATAAAAGGGAGGGTGTACTGGAGAGACAGGTCAATGAGGAGTGTAGCTCATGCTTTGCATGCGGGAGGCCTGGGTTCAATTGCCAACTGAGTCTGGTCACCCAAGCACCATCAAGAATCAACTGTGAGCTAAGAACAGTTCCTGAGCACCATCAGGGGCAGCCAAAGCCCTCCGCCCCTCAAAGAGGAGGGGAACATTTTTATGTTTTAGATTTTTAGGCCACATTAAGCAATGCTTAGGACTTACTCCTGGCTCTGCACTCGGGAATTATTCCTTGCAGTGTTAGGGGGACCATATGTTGTGCCAGGGATAGAACCCCGGTTGGCTATGTGCAAGACAAATGCCTACCTGTTGTACTATCACTTCAGTCCCAAGGAAGAGAACTTGAAACAAAAGTTCAGTGGCTTAGAAAGCCCAAGTTCAACCTCTGGTACACCAAATGCAATCCTGGCAGCGCTGCCTGAGACCCCTGATGCCACAAGTGACTTCCAGCCACTCCGCAAACAAGTATGTGCAAACCACAAGTGTGCAACCCTCAGTGAGCACCACCACTAACGATATGTCACAGCCAAGAGGCGCAACCCCTGGGAAGCAGATGTGTGGGCACCAAATCAGAGTAATAGTAATAAGTGTAGGGTTGGGCCAGAGTGGTACTACAGTAGGTAGGGCATTTCCCTTGCATGTAACCAACCAGGTTCAATCCCCGGCATCCCATATGGTCCCCTGAGCACTGTTAGGAGTAAGTCTTAGTGCAGAGCCAGGAGTAATCCCTGAACATTACCCGTTGTGACCCAAAAAAGCAAAAGTAAACAATGTAAATAAAAAGAATGGCCAGAATGATAGTACAGCAGATATGATGTTTGCCTTGCACAAGGCTAACCCAGGTTTGATCCCTGACAGCCTATAGGTGGAGTGGTCCCCTAAGCCTGCCAGGAGTGATCCCTGAGTGCAGAGCCAGGAGTAAGTCCTGAGACCACTGGATGTGAGCTCAAAACAAAACAAAACGAAAAATCCAAAAAAGAGCATAATCCCAGTGAGCACATGTGCAAGCAACACCATTCCAGGAGTGCAAACATCGGCCAGGACCAAGTGTGTGCAAACACCACGCCCTAACATGCACTTCCTGGCAGAGACCACAGCTGAATGTGTGAGCACCAACGCCTGGAAATTCTTCTAACCTGGGAACCACCACAGCAGCACCAGCAACACAGGGGTCCTGGAGCAGGATTGCCGCAGAGGTTCCCAGCCCAGTCTCACAGATGTACGGTCACGACTTCACATCCTGAGTATCTACATGTCTCCTGGTAAGCTGGCTGCTCTGCTGGCTGTGATCCCCAGCATCACAAGCAGTGGCTGCCAGGTGGGGGGACATGTAGCACCAACAAGGTGAGGCCCCTGTAAGCACAACTCGAAGGCTAGTAGCAGCACCCCAGCCAGGAAGTGCAGGGCTGGCCCATGCTGGGTGAGCTCCATGCCCGTGCTGGCCAGCACCAAAACGATAATCTGCACACCTCAGGTAATGAGACCAGCTCCAGTGAGCACAGGTCTGATCTACACAATGGAAAAACTGTGAGCCTTGCTGAGCTTCTCAGTCAGGGCCAAGCACCACAACCTGCTGTGTGGCTACTGCATGCACAGGAGACGTGGACCCCCACAGCTAGGCACTGTGCGATGCCCGTCATCTCAGCCAACAGAAGGTGGAGGAGAAAGCCAGAGGGAAAGAAGAGAGGAGGAGGGGATAAAATGAGTTATTTTTTAATTTATTTTTACTTATTTTTTATTTTTTGCTTTTTGGGTCATACCCAGCGATGCTCAGGGGTTACTCCTGGCTCCGTACTCAGCAATTACTTCTGGCAGTGCTCCGGGGACCATATGGGATGCTGGGATTCAAACCCGGGTCGGCCACATGCAAGGCAAAAACCTACTGTGCTATCACTCCAGCCCCAAAATGAGTTATTTTTTTAAACTTAATTTTTTTGTTTTGATTTTTGGGTCATACCCAGTGATGCTCAGGGGTTACTCCTGGCTCTGTGCTCAGGAATTACTCCTGGCAATGCTCGGGGACCATATGGGATGCTGGGTATTGAATCCTGGTCAGCCATGTGGAAGGCAAACACTCTACCCGCTGTACTATTGCTACAGCCCCCTAAACTTAATTTTAAGGGCTTGTAAAAATAGTAAATCAGGTAGAACACTTATTTGTCTTTACACAGTCAACCTGGTTCTATCCCTGGCTCCCCTTAGAGTCCCCTGACAGGAGTGATCCCTGAGCTCAGAGCCAGGAGTAAGTCCTGAGCACTTTGAGGTGTGCCCTCAAACAAAAACAAAAACCAGAACCAAATATGTGGTTTATACTTGTCCTCAGAGCCTGGTTGTTTGTTTGGTTTGGTTTTGGTTCACACCCATAGGTTGCTCAGGGCTTACTCCTGGCTCAGAGCTTAGGAATCACTCCTGGAGGAGTTACGGGGACCATAAAGAGTGCCAGGGGTCTAACCTCGGTTGGCCGCATACAAGGCAAGCATTCTGCATGTGTCCTATCATTTGGGGCTCCCAGAGGCAGATTCTAAATACACTGGGAACGGGGGTTTGGTCCAACGTTGAGTTTGATCTCTCGGCATGCCATAATGATCCCTTGAACACTCAGGAATGATTCCTGAGTGCAGAGCCAGGGGTAAAGCCCAAACACCACCAGGTGTGGCCCCCCCCAAAAATTCCCACACATACTCAAGCTGTTCACAATAGTTGGTCTCTCCTGAAGAATGATCTAAAGGATAAAGAACATCAGCCTCAACTGAACACTGTTCTCTCCCCCTCAGACTTCTCGATTCAAAGGCTCCTCTCACAGGGAAGGCAGTAACAGGTAAGGGAAATGAAAACGACTGTCCTGGAGCCTTCACAAATGCATAGAAGAGGGGCAGAGAGATGGTACAACTGGAGGTTCAATTCCTAGCACTCCATTATCATCCCCTGACCCTCACCAGGAATAATCCCTAAGCGCAGAGCCAGGAGTATGCCCTAAACACAGCAGGACCAGATGTAACTCCCTAAAAATCAAAAACAGAGAAAGAAATGAGTATCAATTTGACACTCATTAGGAAATAAGCAATGCAGGCTCATTCCTTGGTAAGATCTGACTTTCATGCATAGCACGATGTCTCTGAACTTTTAGCAGCAAGATAAAAGTAGGGTAGAGAAACTCATTCTTAACCAACACAATGAATGAAACGCGCCATCAGTAGCATTGGGTAAAGCAGATATCATTTTCTCTTTCCCAAGTGAGAAGCACCTACAGTCAACATTCACTGTATCTTACAATGGCCAGGAGGCCTTTCTTTTTTCCATGTGGCTTTTCAGAGAACAGAATTAAAATCAATACCATATTGATTTTAGTCCTTGTGAAATATATCACCAAATATTTACATAGGACTTTTAAATGCAAGTGCTATTAAAATAATGATGCTCACCCTCATTCCTGAGAGCAGTTCAAAGGTGCCAAAGGGGCTAGAGAGACAGTACAGCGGGGAGAGCGCTTGCCTTGCACACAGGCAACCCAAGTTTCATCCCTGATATAATACAGGATTCCCCAAACACCGCCAGGAGTAATTCCTGAGGGTAGAGCCAGGAATAAATAAACCCTGAGTACTGCCGGGTGTGGCCGAAAATATATTTGTGACCAAATATATTCCACTCCCTCTCTTTCAAACACACATAGGCACCAGAAAGAAGAAAAGGAAAGCTAATATATATTATATGCAATTTATTTATATTTACCAATATAAATAAAAAATTATTTACATTAATTATAGATATTTAATTATATATATAAATTTTTCTTTGAAGTTGCCAAGCACTCCTCCCACCCACTCTCCAAAGCATGACAGGAAGAGATTTGAAGGATGAAAGTAGATCTCACCCTCTGCTACTTGTCGGCACCCAGGTCCCTTCACTGTCTGTCATTCTCCAGCCTCCTTCTGGCCTGGGCTGCAGACACTCAGGACTCTGCAGCGCTGCTGTGTGCTGCCCTCTACTGGGTGATGCCCCCTAACATGTTGACTTCTTCCTTCCGTGGAACCCAGTTCTCCCAAGTCTAGAGGAATTCACTTTTTGCAAGATTCAATTCAAAAGTAACTTCAACCACAAAGCTCTTCCTGAAGCACCCCATGTCCACACCCCCACCTACAAGATACCCCACAGTCACTACCACGTGCATGTTTACTCTCCTAACTTCCCTGTCGAGATGCTGAGCCCCTTGATGACAGACCCTTTGCAGAGGCTGAGGTGAAGCCTTCCAAATAATGCTCAGAGAGCCCAAGGCCACTGGCTCATTTTATTTATATTTATTAATATAAATAAAATGAAGCTTCAATGCTCATGGTGGGCTTGAGGTCCACCCAGGACTACACGTAGTACCAGGGAGCAGACCTGTGGGTTCTGCATGCAAGACATGAGTTCCAGTTCTTTCAATGCTACCCCCTGCCCCATAAACTGTATTTGACTTACTTATATACCCAGAAGTTATGACTGATAGATATAAAGGTTTATTACACTTATTTTATAGGTGGAATGTAATGGGATTTTGAAAGGAGGGGCTGTGTTTAGGTAAATCCTAAACACATCTAGCTGTGTTTAGGATTTACCCCTGGCTTTGTGGACAGGGATCAGAAAACCATATGAAGTATCAGGGATCAAACTCTGTTTGACAGCATGTAAGTTAAGTGTCTTAAATGCTCTGTATCTCTCTGGCCCAACTTTCCCCCCACCTTCCCACCCCCCGTTTGTTTATTTTTTGGTTTGGGAACACATCCTGTGATGCTCAGGGCTTATTCCTAGCTCTGCTCTCCAGAATCACTCCTGGTGGGCTCAGGGGACAATATGGGGTGTTGGGAGTTGAACTCAGATCTGCCTCATTTAAGATAAACACCTTACCCACTGTAATATCTCTCTGGACCCATATTTTATCAATGAATTTAAGTCTCCACAAATTAACCTCCCTCAAGGCTGGAGAGATAGCACAGCGGGTAGGGTGGTACGGCAGGGTGGTAGATAGGGCCTTGCACACAGCCAACACAGGTTCAATTCCCAGCATTCCATATGGTCCCTCAAGCACCACCAGGAGTAATTCCTGAGTGTATGAGCCAGGAGTAACCCCTGTGCATCGCCAGGTGTGACCCAAAAACAAAACAACAACAAAAAATTAACTTCCCTCCCTTCTTCTCCCTCTCTTTCAACACACAAATAGGCACTGGAAAGAAGAAAAGGAAAGTTAATAATGGAAAGAGATAAATACCTCTTGTAGTGATAATTCTATGATCAATCAGGCTGATCAAGTCTACCTCTGCTTACCATTGATCTCCGGCGTCCAGTAGCTGAAGGCAGGAACGAGGGACTGTTGTCTAGGTACGGTGAGTCTATGCAAGAGTTCTTCTGAGAACCAGAGCTTCCTGAGTCGCTGTGCAGCTGTCCCTTTTCAGACATCACTCTGGAAAGAAAGCTGGCCTTACGACTGGCCGGGCACGATCGATCCATCCAGACCCCACTCTCCCTCACGCTGCCCTCACTATCTCTGCAGAAACTTTGCGCATCTGTGAGAGACTCTCCTGCCATATGCTGGTCCTGGGCTTGCTCCCAGGGTCCTGATGCATATGATGCCCCCTGTCTGGGAAGGGCAGTGGTAAGCAACCAGGAATGGCACTTTGTGTTCTGTGGCCCAAAGGACTTGCCTGGATGCTGTCCCGGGTGCTGAAGGGCAGCTCTGTGGGTCCACAGACCTGGCTCGTGGACGTGGAGCTGTCCACTGTGCTGATCCTTCTCAGCACAGTCTTTTTCACTATAGCAAGCGTCCACCTCGAATTGCCTGGGCTGTGGGATTTGCCGCATCGTGTGAAACTTTGGTACACTGGCTTGGAGGGGATGCTGTTGGTTGTTGGCTTGAAGCAGGGAGCTTCTTTCATGCAACGAAGAGCAAACCATACATGGCTGGACCACCGGATACTTTTCCAAATCAAGCCCCTTTTCAGCCTCCGTGCTTTCACCACCGGGTTTTTCATGAACTGCCCTTATAATTTTCCTGATTCCCAGGTGAAATATTTCCAGTCCATTCAGAAACAAAGAGACAGCCGCGATACTTTGCATAAAGAACATGAAAATGGTTTTCTCTGTGGGCCTGGATACAAAGCAGTCCACTGCATTGGGACAAGGAGGTTGAGTGCATTTGTAAAGGGGGTTCATTTGAAATCCATAAAGAATATATTGGCCTATCATGAAGCCTACTTCCAGCACAGATCTGGTCAAAACATGCAGAATGTAAGTTCTCAGCAGACATCCCCTCAGAGGGACTTTATGGACCCGCCTGTGCTCCTCTAGCCGTCTCAGCTCTCTCTCAATTCTCTGCTGCTCCTCCCACTCCAGCTCAGGATCCTCCAGGTGGGCTCTCAGGTGGGCCTTTTTCTTCTGTCTCTCCTTTTCAAAGGTCCTGAGTCTGTAAAGTGCATGGCCCATATACACCAGAGAAGGGGAAGACACGAAGATGATTTGCAAAACCCAGAACCTGATCAGAGAGATGGGGAAAGCATCATCGTAACAAACATTACTGCAACCTGGCTGCTGGGTATTGCAAACAAAGGCTGACTGTTCGTCATCCCAGACATCTTCGGCAGCCACACCAAGGACCAGCATTCGGAAAATGAAGAGGATGGTCAGCCAGATTTTCCCCACTATAGTTGAATGGGAATGGACTTCCTCTAGGATGCCACCCAGTAAGTTCCAGTCCCCCATGGCAAGAGACTAGTGTCTGAAATATAGGAAACATAAGTTAATAGCACCCGTCAATGGGACAAATGAGGACAAATCATCAGCACTGCAGGTACTTTGTCAAGTCACATAAAAAATCTATAAAGGATTTTCCAGCTCTGATATTCTTGGCCCAGGCATAATGTAATAAGATGTTTCCAGAGAGTATAAGTTGTGCTGTTATTTTTATTTTATTTTTGTTTACTGAAGGGGTTCCCAAGTGATCTGAGGACCCGTAGCAATTTTCAGCCAACCAGATTGACAGCTCATTATCAGGGTCCAGCATTTGGTACTGCTTGAACCCTGTGGTGTTGGGTTGCTTTTATGGAGCCTGGCAACCTCCAGAGCCATACCTGTCGGTGCTTGAGGACCTCTAGATTGTACTTGGTGGTGCTCGAGGGACCATGTGGCATTGGGGATCAAATGGAAGTCAGCTGGGTGTCAGGATAGCTGAGTGGTCTAAGGCACTGGACTCAATAGAGGTCAGTCACATGAAATCAAGTGCCCTCAACCCTGTACTATCTGCCCAGACCCCCAAGAATATGGTTTTTAGAGAAAACAATAAGGACCCCCCCCCCAACACAATCTGACACAATCTCTTCCTATTCTCATCTCGGTCACAAAGTTGTCCCTCATTCTAGTATATACATTGTCCTCATACCTTCTGGGTGCATTTCATTCCACACTGTTGTTCAGTTTGTCTACCCATTTGAGATTCCCATTTACCATATATCCTATGAAATAAGATAGTCTTATTTATTAAATAAACATGAAATAAGTATCCTATGAAATGAGTCTCAAAATTATCTGTCGAAATTGCTTCAGATAAAATGCAAAATTATGTAAGCGTGTGTAAACAAAAATCTTACAATGTGCGCAAGCGTGCATGCATGTGTGGATATGTGAGTATTAGGAACATGTGGAAAAACACACGTCAGAAAGTTGATATGGGTTTATAGTCTGTGGGTAGGTTATGAGGATGAAGAAAAGTTGTAGGATAAGAGGAGAAGCAAAATATCTAAGAAAGAAGGGGAATGGAGAGAATGGAAGAAAGGGGAGGAAGAAGAGAGAAGAAAAGAGGAGGAGAAGGAAGAGGTAGAGGAAGAGGAGGAGGAAGAGGAAGAGGAAAAGGAGGAAATGGAGAAGACTTATTTTCTTAGAAAGTGTGACTGTATTTTATCCAATGTATTCATTTATATAAATGTATGTCACCACAAGCCTGAACAATAGTATAGCAGGTATATTGCTGAACTGGGATCAATTTTCTGTACCCCATATGGTCCCTTGAGCCCCATCAGGAGTAGATCCCTGAGCACAGACCCAGGAGTAAGCCCCATCATGTACCAAGTGTGCCCCTTCCAAAAAATATAAATTTATGCCAGTATGTGCATACATTTGACTAAGCATACCTGTGTGTATACATATTAATAAACAAATTTGCATTGCATACATGTGTAAACATACCTATATTTACATATAAGTGTAAAACAGTTTTTAGAATAAAAATTTTAAAGTAGTTGATATCTCAAAATTTGGAAGGAGTATATCAATGAGATATATTTTTGTCTATATACCTGTGAATTTCTTAAAATTAAAAATTAGAGTCCAGGAGCCAGAGGGATACTACAGAGGGTAAGGTACTTGCCTTACATGCTGCTGACCAGGCTTCAATCCCTGGAACCCCATGTGGCCTCCTTGCCACTGCCAGGAATGATTCCTGTGCACAAAGTCAGGAGTAAGCCCTGAGCACTTCTGTTTGTGGCTAAAAAGTAAAGTCTTGGAGCTGGAGCGATAGCTCAGCAGGCAGGGCATTTGCCTTGCACATGGCTGACCCGGGTTTGATTCCCAGTATTCCATATGGTCCCCCAAGCACCGCCAGGAGTTATTCCTGAGTGCATGAGCCAGGAGTAACCCCTGTGCATCGTAGGGTGTGACCCAAAAAGCAAAAAAAAAAAAAAAAAAGTAAAGCCTTGCAAAGTAAAACAAAACAAAAATGAAAACAAACCCTGAGGTCAGAAAAACAAATTCATTTCACTATTTTATTATCAATTTGGCTATCTATAACTACATAATGCTTTGTTTAGAAGCTGCTGCTTGCACGCTGCTGACCTTGCATGCTGCTAATCTGGGTTCAATCAATTCAGCATACCATATGATCCCTCGAGCACCATCAGAAGTGATTCCTAAGTGCAGAGCCAGGAGTAAGTCCTAAGCATTGCTTGGTGTGACCCAAAGAGAAACAAACCAAAAACAGAAATGTAACTTGCATACTGACTTGCAAGAGCAAGATCCTTAGACCAGTGTTCTTCACCCATTCTACACCTGAGGCCTGGCATCTGTTCACAGATCGGTTCATGGCCTGGCAGTTCAAACCAAGACCAATGACTTATTTTTCTTTTTGGATCACACCCAGTGATGCACGGGGGCTACTCCTGACTTTGCACTCAGGAATTACTCCTGGCGGTGCTCAGGGAACCTTATGGGATGCTGGAAATCGAACCCGCATCAGCCGTGTACAAGGCAAATGCCCTACCCGCTGTACTTTTGCTCCAGCCACAAGACCAATGGTTTTCAACCTTCTACCCCTACAGACCAGCTCTATTCTACCTCAGACAATTACTCCTGGGTTTCCAATAAACAACTTTTTGATTACAGATCTTAGAAATACTCTAGAATTTATCATGAAATAGCAAATAGCAATTAAAGGAAAACAACCCACATGCAAAACAGAAACACAATCAGGTCTATTAACCTGCAAGAACATTCCTTAGACAATTATCTCTACATTTCCTTAAAAACAATTACTTTTTACTTTAAATGACTATAGATAGGTTTTAGAAATATTGTTTTGGGGCTACACCTGGTGGTGCTCAGGACTTACTTCTAGCTCTGTGCTCTGAGAGCTCACTTCTGGCAGGGCTCAGAGGACCATATGGAGTGCTAAAGATCAAACTTGGGTCTGCAGGGCAAGCACCCTACCCACAGTACTGTCACTCTGGACCTTAGAAATATTCTTGTCAATCTGGAGTGATAGTATAGCAGATAGGGCTCTTGACCTACTGGGTTTTATTCCCAGCACCCCATTTGGTGCCCTGAGCACTGCCAGGAGTGATTCCTGAGCACAGAGCCATGAGTAACCCATGAGCATCACCAATTGTGGCCCCCAAAAATATATTCTTGAATTTTATCAAATTTAATTTCACATTTGCAAAGTGAAAAGCTGGTGTGCCTTTCCTTAATTTTATCCTAAATATTACTTTTCTATCCCCACAAAAATTTTCTATATATGTCCCATAAACAAGACTCCACGTATTTATCACTTACCTTATTGATGAGAAACAACAAAATCCCAATTGGACTTAAAAAAAAACCGTTGCACCTTGTGTAGCTAATTAGTAGAACAATTGCTGCTGGTTACAGATATAAAGGTTCTGATCAGCTGGCCATGGGGCCCAATCCAAAACAAGCACAATAATTTTGATCAATCAAGTCTAACCCAGCTCTCTCCTAGGATTCTAAATGCCCGTTGGTGCTTTGCAATTATTTTGTAATTTTTTTTTCTAAAATAGCTAGTTAGCTAAGGCCCTTCACAGTATTCATATTTAGAAATAAAAAGTGAGAAAATTGTGAGAATTTTCCTTTTTTGAAGATTACAATAGCGCATGTTTGGGTGGATTTCTTTGTCACTCGACTGCTTGAAAATCTGTGCTCACAAATCAATGGGTCATGTCCAAGTTCACCAACAGCTGCCTGGGGTGAGTCCAGGCTCATCAACTGTGAACAAATAAAAGTGGAGTGACAGTCAAATCCACAGTGTTCTTGCAAATCAAGCCATGTTGAAAGGACAAACATCAAAAAGAAAGTAAGCTCTTTTTCTCCTAATTTTTGGAACTGGCAGTGCTCAGAAGATAATGCAGTGCCCAAGATGAAACCAGGGTCCCCCATACAAAGTACATGCTCCAGGAGGACTGAAACAATACCACAACAGGTAGGGCGTTTGCCTTGCACGCGGCCAACCCGGGTTCGATTCACAGCATCCCATATGGTCCCCTGAGTACCGCCAGGAGTAATTCCTGAGTGCAGAGCCAGGAGTAACCCCTGTGCATTGTCAGGTTAAAAAAAAAAAGTACATGCTCCGGTCTTTTGAACCTCCTAGATCTAAAAGTAAGCATTTTGGGAAAGGTAGGGGTTTGGGCCACACCCAGCAGTGCTCAGGGGCTACTAATCTGAATCATTACTTAGAATTGACCCCTGGTGGTGCTCAGAGGACCCTATGTGGCATAGGGGATTTGAACCTGGGTTGCAGCTGCTTTGGCTGCATACAAAGCAAGTGTTTCACTCTCTCTGGCCTTAAGAGTAAACATTTCAAAACCACTGGGTACAAATTGATTATCAGAATCCATAGTGGGTGAAAACACATGATGTCAGAGCCTAAGGGTAGCCCACAGGTAGAGAGCATTTGCCTTGTAGTTTGATCCCCAGCACGGTCCCACATGCTGAGTGTGGTTCCCATGGGAGCCCCAGTAGGGTGTGTGGTCTCTGGTACACCACAGCACATCACAACCATGTTTGGATTGCAGCATGCATCCCAACCAAAGTGGGTGTCCTCCCCCACCCAACCCTTATCACACCTGTAACAGCAAAGTAAAAGGATGGGGATAAAAAACAACACAAGACCTACTAATATACTTTGTACAGTAATGGTTACATTATCTAGGACTCAATCAGATTATATGTCTCATTAAAACAAATAAGAGAAACAGGAACTTGATGTAAGGATATTCAAGTGGTCGATGAACATTCATGATCTATCACTCCACTTTCACCAGAACAGGCAAGATTAAAGACTGACAATTCTGGGGGCTGGAGTGATAGCACAGCAGGTAGGGAGTTTGCTTTGCACACGGCCGACCTGGGTTCAATTCCCAGCATCCCATATGGTCCCCCAAGCACCGCGAGGAGTAATTCCTGAGCACATGAGCAGGAGTAACCCCTGTGCATCACCAGGTGTGACCCAATAAAAAGCATTAAAAAAAAAAAGACTGACAATTCTGAGTGTTATAGATCTTTTAAAGAAACTAAAGAACTTACATATTACTAGTGGGAACATAACTTAGAGCACTTACAAAAACTAGTAGTAGTTTTTTCACACTAGACCAAAGCAATAGTACAGCAGGTAGATATGTTTGCCTTACATGGAGCTGACCAGGGTTCGATCCACGGCACCACATATGATTGAGTCAGGAAAATGCCTTGAGCGCCACCAGGTGTGGTCCCCCTGCCCACACACAAAAATAAATAAAAAAGCAATACTTATTTTAAGTCTTCCCATGGTAAACTACTCCTAGGGATATATCCAACAAAAATGTGCTGATTGGTGCCAAAGAGACAGCAAAAGGGTTGGAGCACAGGCTTTGCATGCTGGAGCCACATGATCCCCTGAGCACTGCCAGGAGTGACACTCAAACACTGAGCTGAGAGCATCCCCTGAGTACTACCAAGTGTGGCCTCAAAACCAAAGGAAAGTGTTCACCTTTGCAGTAAAGGCCAGGGACAAGACTGTTCAGACCAGTACTATATAAATAGCTCCACACTGGAAACAAAATAAATCAATCTCACAAGCAACAGCTGAGCAAAGATTCAAGCCTCCATCTATACCATAATGGCAGGAGAGAAAAGTTCAACAGGCTGGAGTGACTTTTGTATGTGGAAGGTCTGAATTTGATCCCCAGCAAGTACGTTCCCCAAGAGCACTATGGGTCATGTTCAAGTTCACCAATCTGGGTATGCCCATCCTCCCAAATAACCACTTGGGTCTGACCGTCCTCCCAAGTAAATAGTATAAACATGTATTCCATTTGGAATTTCAAACAAAAGGTCAAATGAACCTAAGGGAATTTGCCAGCAATTGTTTAATGCTAGAATGAAGATTCTAACTAGTAGCAGAGTGTGTGGAAGCTTTCTGAGAGGTTACAAAGGTCATGTTCTTGCCCTGGATGGTGTTACACAAGCACACTTTGTGAAAAATCACTGTTCTGGGTAGTGTCAAAGATTGAACCCTGAATCTTACAGAGGTATACTGTCTACCACTGCCAACATATCCCTGGCCCATAAACAGGAGAGTGCAAATGCAAACCCCCCAACTCAGTAAATTATGAAGTCTCTCACATGCGGGGGTATTGCAGGGGTCAGCACATACAGAACCCAGTGGCTAGATCTGGAAAGAACACTTTCCTAACCAGGCACTGAAGACTAACTAACTGTTGCATTCTTTGTTTTTGTTTTTGGTTTTTTTTTTTTATCTCGGTTAACCAGGCTAATGGTTCAGGGCAAGGGCCCTGAGGATGTGGTGCTGCTCAGGACCTGCAGTGTTCAGTGAGGGTCTCCAGGGACACATCCAATGATGGTGAGCAGACCATGGGTGTTGGCAATAGGAGTCAGCCACATCTCTCTGGCCTTGAGCTTCTTCTTTTGAAAACTTCTGAAAACTAGGGAATGGTTAAAGACAGACAGTCCCCTAGGTTCTGTGGGGGGTTCAAAGAGGGAAGAAGTTTAGAGTGCACAATCCCAGCACTATAGTCAGTTAATTACTTCAATGTCACCTACCAGGCAATTCTTCAGATTAGGGAATGTCCTAAAGCACTTGCTGTAGTTCAGGGATAAGATAACCCACCAATCCTGAGTCTGGAGGGGAAAGGTGAATAATAAATAATACACAGCCTGTCAATTATTGTTTCCTCCAAATCTTCACCCTAAAGGAGTTTGTGGTAATACCATTTTACCCATGACACCAATCAGAGAGATGGGGTTCACTGTATTAGCACCAGTGTGAGAAAGCAGGAAAAAGAAACTTTTCCCATAATGACGCTAAGAGGTTTCACCCCCTCAAACAATAACTCTTTTAAATAGTCTACCATGTTCCCCTTTCCTTTTTATTCTTGTAATTATCTAAACACACTAAAAGAAATATTTTATGTATTTTGTTTTCTGGGGGTAGGAAGTGGGGTACACTTAGCTGTGTTCAGGGCTTACTCCTGACTCTGTGCTCAGAGACCACTTCTTTTTTATTATTATTATTATTAGGGAAACACCATGAGGTACAGTTGTAGATTTACTACTTTTTGTGCTTGGGTTTCGATTATACAATGATCAAATACCCATCCCTCCACCAGTGCCCATTTTCCACCACCATGAATAATATCCCCCCACCCCCATCCCCCCATCCCCCCCTGCCTCTGTGGCAGGGCAATCCCCTGTGTTCTCTTAGAGACCACTTCTAATGATGCTCAGGGAATCATGTGGACTGCCAGGGATCAAACCTGTGTAGGTTGTGTGCAAGGCAAGTGCCCACTTGTTATAATCACTCTTGCCCCACTGAAAGAAATATCCTAATCAAAGTATAATAATTGAGACAAGGAGATAGCTCAAAGGACTGGAGCATGTTCCATGTTGGAACCCCAGGCTCTATTCCCAGCACCCAAGCTCTGCATGGCCCCCACACCTAATCCCACTTCTGGGAGTGGCCTAAAAAAAACAAACAAAATAAAACAGAACTTTACACGGTTTTATTTACACATTACTGGTAATGACAGCAAACTTTATACAAAAAGTTTTATATAGATTAAAAAAAAGCCTTGGCTAAGCAAAGCCATTTATCCATGTGTATAAACAAATCACAAGTACACACACACAAAGTATTTTACAACATAATTATACATATTTACATACTATGTTACAATTTATCAAATGAAAGAGAATTAGAAAAGCAAATAAAAATAAAAATGAACTAAACGCGCATTAAGCTTGAAACACTATTAAAAACTATTTTTGAAAATCTAGAAAAGGAAGTCATTTCTTTCAATATCAAAACTAAGGTTTCAACACTATACTAGTGTTGCTTTCATCTTAGTAACAAATTCTAACCTGTTTAAAAATAAATATCTTGGACAATAGCAGCAATGCAAATCCAATTGATTTGCTGAACATGCTGATTTCAGATTAAGGAGGAATCAAGTACAAATGTAGGTTATTAACTGGTAACCACACAAGTCATGTAACTGCTCCCCACTTCCCCATTTAAAATATGAGGAAGTCCAAGCTTCTGTGCAGTAATTCACCATCAATCAAGATTCCTAGGTATTTAGAAACTTACTTGTAATATAAGAAAACACTAAAGTTATGATTCTTATTTTCTGTTCATAAAGTGTTGCTCTTTTGAATCACCTTGGTAACTATCTTATCAATACAGTTGACAAAAATTTCTGTTTGTTTTTGGGCAACACGCAGTAGTGCTCAGATCTTACTTTCTGGCTCTGCCTCAGGAATCACTCCTAGAGGAATTGGAGGGACCATTTGTGGGGCCAGGAATTAAAGCCAGGATGGCAGCAAGGCAAGTACCTATACTATCTTTCTGGCCCCAGGACAAAAATGTAATTGTGTACACAATGCTTAGAGAATCAAAATCAAGGTGACAATTAGAAATAAAATACTATTTGGGCATTATGCAAGCAAATAAAATCTCCAATTAAATCCACTGAAAGATTTAAAGTTTTTAAAAATTTGAAGTTTCATTAAAGTTTAATGGAATTTGAAACATGAAACTAGTAAGCATACTTGCAGATCCAAGTTAATTCTGTCATGAACATACATTATTTTTGCAAGAGAAAGGAAGTCACATTTTAAGGTAACATTCACATTAAAAAAAAATTCAGTTTAATTTCTTGAAGGCAGTGACAAATTTAAAGCACCATAAGTCTGAAAAATAATCAGATCATTTTGCTTTAAATATTTTTTGAATTTTTTTTAGAATAAGTTTTTCCTTTAAATGCCCATTATTCAAGTTTACATTTATATGCAGAGAATTTAAACGTTATAGTATAGGTATTAACTGTCCTTTGAAGATCTCGTTAGGAAATGAGTTACTCCTAAAGAATTCTGAAACTATCTAAATAGTCATTTACAGAGAATGCAGAAACTAATTTATAACTCAAAAATATTCAGAATCTTTCATCACTCCAAGATCAACCTCCAAATATGGCTTCTATTAGATTTTATTTAATTCAAACCATCTAATTTAAATTGGCTATTGTGTTGGGGCCAGAAAGATAATACAGAAGCAGGGTGCTTGCAGTGCATGCGGGGGACCAAGGTTTGCTCATTAAAAAAAGATTACACTATGAAGATAGTCTTGTAAGTTTCCTTATTTAAAAAACTCAATTGGCGGGGGCAGGGAGTTGGGAGGCCACACCCAGCAGAGCTCAAAGCTGACTCTGGGCTCTGCATTCAGGGATCAATCCTGGTGGGCTTGGGAGACCATACAGGATGCCAGGGATCGAACCCAGTAAGCCAAGTGCAAGGCAAGTGCCCTACTCACTGTACTATCACTCTGGCTCCAACCTGCTGTTAAATATTAATCAGCCTTAATCAACCTATGCAATGGTGGTCTGAGAAAACGTTCTGTGAGCATTAATGCTAAAGGTAAACAATGCCATCTGTTTAGATGACAAATGATTTGGGGTTTAAGAATGTACATTTTGTATTTTGAGGGGCTAGGACAGGGCTCAATTGCAAAAGCATATTATGCGACCTGGGTTCATCCCTAGCACCTCATAGCTCTTCCAAACAGTGCCATCATTCCCCAAAATAACTGAGGAAAACGGTGTTTTGTATTTTAAAGTATTTGCACTACTAAATAAAAATGTGGAAAGTTGTAATGACAACAGATATAATGAGTATGAAATATAAAATTGAGCATGATTTTTCTTGATCAAAACAAATGTATTATTAACCTTTAAATGGCCTGCCCCCCATAATGGGGAACCAGAAGGTTTAAGAGAGATATCACGCTTATCTGAACTGCAGTAGGCGACACTCTGGACATGGCCCATGGATAACTAAAGAAGGGACTCAACTGGGTGTCCCTCACGAACACTCAAATCTACAATGATGAAAGGGCCTTAACCGCATAGATGCAGTGCCAAACATTCCGTAGACTTCACCATGGCCATTAGCTACCTGCATTTTGACTTTTCAAAGAGCTTCTTTAACTGCTGGAATCTTTCTGAAACCTGAAAAATTCAAAATTAAGCGTTAATTATAAATAACTCAATAATATTCTACTTATCTTTGATGTTTTCACAAAACCTCTAAAGACACATAAAGCCACTCTCAATAAAGAGATAAAGTGGTATTTTAAAAAATAAAAAATCTTGGGCTGGGGGCTGGAGAGATAGCACAGCGGGTAGGGCGTTTGCCTTGCACGCGGCCGACCCGGGTTCGATTCCCAGCATCCCATATGGTCCTCTGTGCACCGCCAGGAGTAACCCCTGAGTGCAGAGCCAGGAGTAACCCCTGTGCATCACCGGGTGTGATCCAAAAAGAAAAAAAAAAAGAAAAAAGAAAAAATCTTGGGCTGGAGAGATAGCACAGCGGGTGCCTTGCACGCGGCCAACCCAGGTTCGATTCCCAGCATCCCATATGGTCCCCTCAACACTGCAAGGAGTAACTCCTGAGTGCAGAGCCAGGAGTAACTCCTGTGCATCGCTAGGTGTGACCCAAAAAGCAAAAAAATAAATTAAAAAAAATCTTTCCACTAAAGGCGATTTACTAGTTTAACTTTTCAGTTTCAAGTTTTCCTAAACAAGTAAATACCTCAATACAAAACTGACACCAAATAAGCACAGATGTTCAATTAATTTGACTTTGCACTCAATGGCCTTATTCAAGGTCCTGCTTACTTCATGTTTTATTTTGCCTAAAATTTTCTTTAAGCACCTATCAAAATCTACGTTATAAACTCAAAATCTATGTTATGAACTCAATGATGGGAAAAGAAAAAAATTGAGCATTATTTTATTATCTTTGACTTATCAACAAGTTTTAACTTGGTCCTACATGAAGAAATGTACTTTTAAAGAAGCTAGTCAGTAAATACCTGCATATCTTAAGAATTTTAAAAATTAAATCTATTTAAAACAGCAATGTACCAGAAAGGCAAAAATAAAATTAGGTAGTAACATTTATCAAACAACAGAGGTATTAAAATTCAGTAGTTACCTGACAGGAATTCTTATTCAACTTGGCAGCTAAATAATAAAATGTTTTTGGTGATGGTCCTTTTTTCTGACATTCCAATAAAATTTCCCGGTCATCATTTCTGAAGGGAGAAATATCATTAAGTAGATTAGACTAGAGAGGATTATAAAAACCCCAATGTCTTAATTTCCACCAAGAGGAAGTGACATGGTTTTGAATTTTCAATTAGCTTATTCCTTTTTTCCCCAAAATTTTTTGGTTCGTGCCCAGTGGTTCTCTGGCAGCTACTCTAAGCACAGTGTTCAGCAGAAAGTGCTAAATCCTGGACTCCCACATGCAAAACTTATTCAGTTCTCTAAGCTACTCTTTAGCCCTGAATCCTTTGTTTCACAGGAGCAGTACTAAAGTATAATTACTCCTGGCAGTACCCAGGGGACCATATGGGATGCCAGGGATGAAAGCCGGAACTGGCCGAGTGTAAGATAAATATCTTACCTGCTGTGTTATCACTCTGGTCCCCAGGAAGGTTTCTTTTTAATGGTCAAAAAGAAGTTGAACATATCTGAAGAGTTCTGTGCATGGTGCTAAAGCATATCCCCAACAAAAAAGCCTCTACTCTAGACAATGGCTTCCTAAAGTGTGGGCTTTGACAGTGACTACAACTGGATGCAGAAATTGTGAAAAACATGGCAACAGTAAAATCTGAACACAGAAGGACCAAATATTACTGAGTAATGCACCCAAGATGTTTCTGGCAGCACTCATCTGAGTTTAAGTCATGCTCCAGATATTGTTCTCCACTAACTTAACTTCCACCCGAGAAGGACTACTTTTGAAGTAAATCACCACTGTATCACTGTCATCCTGTTGTTCATCGATTTCCTCAAGCAAGAACCAGTAACATCTCCTTTGTCCTAGCCCTGAGATTTTAGAAAGTGCCACATTCGAGGCTCTTTCAGGGTCAGGAGAATGAGACCCATCATTGTTACTAGTTTTTGGCATATTGAATATGCCATGGGGAGTTTGCCAGACTCATCCGTGTAGGCAGGATACGTTCAGTAGTATTTTATCCCAGCCTAAAATACTTTCCTTATTTTAGGCTGGGATAAAACAATACAGAAGGTCAGAGAGATAGTACAGGATATGAGAGAAACTTGTCTCGCATGAGACTAGTGTGGCCAAAGCCCTGGCATGAATCCCTGGCACCATTTATGATTCCTGGATCACTGCCAAGGGTCACTTCTGAGCAGAGCCAGAAAATAGCCCAAATACCACTCAGAAAAAAAAAACTTTAAGTATATCTGCACTGCTAATTTAAAAAAAAAAAGGTGGAAAACACTAAATTATATTAACACTAGGATATAATCCCAAATTATGACATCACAGAATAAACTCCTGGCCTCTCAAAACCTCCTGGTGAAATCACAAGATTCTTACCTTGTCCAGGAAACTATAATTTCTCCCTTCTTTTTGACGACATTCTTTGCAGAAAGGCTTGGAAAAGTGGTAGCTGCTTCTGATAGAACTGTAGTCCCCAGATTGGCCTTGAAAGATGAGGGATCTTTGATTACTGGAGTAGTCTTTTTCTTATTGGCTTTTCTTTGCTGTACTTCACCATTCTCAGGAGACTCTTTTGTCACTTTCTCAGTCTTTAAGTCTATTTCCATTCTCTGTTTTTTCTGAGCATGATTTAGATTTGAAAGTTTTTTTCTCTTTTTGTGGGCATTATTATTCAAAACGCCAGGCAACTGTGAAGTCTCCAAACTGGAAAATGGCTCTGATGTTAAAACACTCTTTTTAACTTCACATGAGCTGGGAGCTTCTGAAGTCAAATCAATACAGGCTTCCTCAGCAATGCATTTTTCAAAAGGCCTATTTGCTACTTGCACCTTTTCTTCTTTGCTATTATCTTCATCCACACATATCACCGGACAATCCAAGTCTGGGGCAGTTGATAGAGGCTGGTTACCTTCGTTCTTACTCTCACTTGAAACATCTTCTGTTAAATCAATAAAAGCACCAACAGTATCCGGTTTCCCATTTTCTAGTATTTGAGCATTCTGATTCAAACTGCCTCCAGAACATCCCAACTGATCAATATTTAAAACGGTTACATCTACGAGTTCTCCCAAATTTTGAGGTTCTGTGGTGGGATCTTTTGTTAGGTCTATGTATGCCTTTGAAAGATGATCCTCTACAGAAGGAATTTCTTCTGCAGGAGGCAATTCTTCAATGCTTTCGGGCACTTTGGGCTCCCAAGCTTGACGCAACTTGAAACATTCATCAGTCACTTCATTATGGTCCACTTTACCTGAAGCATCTTTAAGAAATTCATATATATCAGGAACTGGCGTTTGTACCATGCAGTCCTGTTCCTCATGAACTAATTTACTGTTGTCAGCATCATTGATGGAATTTTTCAGTTTCTCCACAGATTGAAAAGTTGTGTTCTGACATGAATTAGATTTTTTTTCTGAGGTTCCATCAGCCTCCTTTCCCATGTTGGGCAAAGAGGTCAATGACTGATCAGCTATCACATTCTGTTTAAGATTAGTAGAGGTAGATGGCGCTGCACGGCGTATTTTCACAACAAAATGATCATTAGACTTTTCCATTATAACAGCATGCATGGGTAGATTCGGGTGGTACTGAAAGCCTGCAGTCACAGATCTGCTTGTCCAGGATGAAGAACAACTTGATTTACTACTTGAATTATCAGACTCCAGAGCTAAATGAATGTCTTGTTCAGAGGCATCCTCCTCTTCAAGTAAGGCATCTTCACTAAAATGGGCACTAATAACTTCTTCGGGGGTTGCACTAGATAAAACTTCTGGCTTTAAAAAACTGAGATGACCATCTGACTTAAGAGGGGAGGGCACTGTCAAAGAGACTGCTAAGTCTTCAAGAAGTATGGAAGAAATGCTGGGCTTGCTCTTTTCTGAACTACACACATTATCTTTGCCTAAAGCTATACTAGTGGACACTTCAAACATACAACTCTCATCTAATACATCAGGATGAACTGGCAACGAAAGCCCTGAAGTCAAAGAGGGACCTTTTTCAGAAGATAATAATGACCAGTTATCATCCCCAATAATTTTAGGACACGGAGAAACCACTCCTGAAACAAGCTCTTCTGCTGTACAAGCTGGTATAGACTCACACTTGAGACTCTCCAGCAATTGTTTCTCTGGAGTCTTTAATTCCCAGTCATTTTTTTCATTACAGTTAACACTGTTGTCCAAAAGATCAGAACCTTGCAACAAACTTTTAAAAATTTCACCCATCTGAGCATCACTCACTAAATTAAAAGTCAGACTAGATGTTTGCTGTTCTGTGAGAATTTCAAAACCGCGCTCTGGCTTCAAAGCTGCAAGCTGGGACATCTGTGCATCCTCTGAGGTGGTACCTTCAGCTCTTCCTGGTTTGGCTATGCTTGAACAGTTCAGTTCCAACACATGCTCTTCAGAGTGAGAGTTCCTCATATTATTAAAGTAAGTAGGAGAACTTTTCTTAATGTCATCCTTCCCTGTGTTAATATTTGAGGTATTTTTTTCTTGATGCTTTTCCTCAGAGTTTTTGCACCCCAATGAAGACTTACAATAAGCAGGATCTTCTAACATGGGGTATTTCTCTTTCAGCATCTCTTTGCTGGAGTTGTCCATATTTCCCTTTTGACATTTTGAATACTGTGCTTTCTTTTTACTAATCTTTTCAAGTTTTCCTTCATCACTATCACTGCCAAAGTTTATGAAATCACAAAACTTTAGTAAGATTTTCTTAAGCTTTGCAAATAAATAGTCAAGTTGTTCATCTACAAATTTCCATAACTTCTTTTTCATATCTGGTAGCTG